TAGTGTCTTCATTAACTCTTGATGTAACTTAATTAGAGTTGGTCAAATAATGTTTCAATCTCTAGGAATGTTGGGGGGGGGAGAGCTTCTGGGTAAGGTTTTACTTTCGTTTTTCTCTTCCCCAGTCCACGGTACCCCCATGCATAGATCTATCAATGCTGCCGCACATCCACAAAGTTACAAGTGCCTAGAATCTTCAAGTATATACAGTTTACATTTCTTCTAAATATCTACCTGAATAAAAACAGTCCACTTTCTACGTGACGAATTCAGAAAACAGCTTTGATTACGTGCGTGTCAGGTGTCACTGGTCGTGCCCTAACTTCCCACAATAACCCCTGCGCTGTGTTACGCGATTATAAAAACACATCGATTTCTTAGACTGTCGCGAGTTTTTGTTCGTGTGGCGAATCATGCGTTGAGGGAGTTCATGCAGCTCTAGATGTTTTGGATACCCTAGCTGTCTACGTTGAGGAACGGGACGTAACTCTGCCGGCGGCACGGGAGCGATTTTTTCTCGTAGCTTCCAAAATTTTCGCTCTCGTAATTGTTGTTACCAGAGCGCTTTGAAAGCTGACGGGAGCGAAATCGCTCGCCGCTCCCGTGTATTTTTTTCGCTGGTACCAAGCTCCCGAAATCAGGAATGGATATTGGAAATAAAAATTCTGGAGAAGCCTATATACCAAGCTCAGTGAGCCATTTCCCTCTAGACGCTTCTTCATTACCATTATGTTATTCAGCGGCTGCTTTACGTTTAATCTACTCTTGGGGGTGGCAGACTAGATGACTTAAGTGTCCTTCGCCACTCCCGTGCTTAAACTGGTTAAAATTGTACTTCTACATGTAATTATTTCTTTTATAACGATGTACTCTGTATTTATGTATGTCTTATGCACAAATAAACTGTTTTCAATCTTCAATCAATCTTCAGACATGGAGGGGTCTGAAACCCTAGGCAGGTCTTAGAAACTGTAGGGGGTTTAGTAGATACAATAATGTAACCCAAACCCAAGAGGATAGGGTTACAAAGCCTCCCTATCCTTTTGTGCGGAGGAATGCCCGAGTGAATCACTCGGGCCGGTTTGCTGGTGCGTTTTCAGAGACTAGAACTTCCAAACTGGGTTTATTCTCAACATGAACCTTTCTCCGCTATCTGGGAACTTACTATGTATCGCAATACTCTGTATTAAACTAATATAACCTGTTACAAAAATTCGAAGTGACGAGCGGCAAATATACTGAGCGCCATTTCTGTTGACCTGTGACGTACGCATTTCCCAATGCGCATAGCGATCGGCAAACGCAGCGCCCTCCGATTGGTCGGTTAATCCGCTCTTCAAACCGAAGTACGTCACAGGTCAACAGAAATGGCGCTCAGTATATTCGCCGCTCGTCACTTCGAATTTTTGTAACAGGTTATATTAGTTTAATACAGAGTATTGCGATACATAGTAAGTTCCCAGATAGCGGAGAAAGGTTGTAAGGTGTCTACCGTCACATACGGGTCGAAGCCATGCTACCGGAATCTACAGGATTCACACTCAGGCTTCGACCTAGGATTCCCGGGTTAGTAGTCTAGTGCTTACAGTGGCAGGAAGCCATGTGGATGGTTAGCACCCCCTCTAGTTGGCGAATTGTATTTCCTCTTGCGCGCGGGGGAGAACAACAGCTGACTCGGTCGGTGTGTGAAAGCGCGGACGTGGCCACCGCGGTATGTGTTTTGTCTCCGGGGAGCTTTGGTTGAAGTCACAAGTAGAGTTTTGTGAGGTGGCGCTTTAGTAGACGTAGCACTCGAGTCTCAGTCGCCGGGCGTCTAGGTGACGTTAACACTCGAGTTCGCCGGGCGGGGTTTGTCTGAGAGCGCGGGGCCTTGTATCGTACTGAGGCTGTAGTAACTGGATGTCTAACTCGGTGATTGAGCATCTGAGTGATGAGACCGGCTGGAGTTGTGTGCAGAGGGACAGCGATATTGGTGACGACAGTTAGCGTACGTTGTACTGGTACGGGTAACATACGGGCGTTCACAGGCTGTTCGACGCTGGCTTTGTGCGGTGAGGACAAGAGGGTTCCCAGAATAGGACACATGGGCCACAGTTAAGAGCTCGGAGTTGCCGCTGGAGTAGGCAGTTTGGTGGTTGTTCCTTGCTCTGAACTGTGTTTGATGGGGCGAGTAATAATCAGTGAGCTAGGTATTACAATGGGACTCCTTAAATAGTCGAGAGAGGGAGTGCAACGCTTCACGTGTGCAGGATTAGAAACTGGCCTATGCTCATAATGCTGTGAGTCAGGCGTGCGTAGAGAGACCTGCCACGGTTATACTTTAAGCCCTTGTCTGGCTACGCCTATATCGTGTATAGCCTTTGTTTATACACCGGGGTTGACATTGATATAATACGTAAACGTAGGCCAGGACAGAGCGGGTGGCGGTGCACCGTTGTACGTCCGCTCCGTTGGCATGTTACATTAACGACGACGAGCACCGGAGATGAGAACGGAACGCTGCGGTTGGCCCGACGACGGAGCCGCGTGAGCTTCGAGGCCTGGCTCGCAGGGAGGTGGAGCTTGAATGGTCGCCGATAACGAATACTAAGGTTAGTAGCATACGTTCACATATATTAATCACAACTATTAAATAGCGGTAGATAA